TTTTTTGGGCAATTTCTGGACCCTCACTAACATGGACCGTTCCCACTCTCAGTCTATGATCGATTTTGACACTAACATGGACCAACTGCAATCTGACTATAAACTGAACGCAGGCTAACATAGTCCGCTCGGAAACTAGACTAACCTATGCCCAAAAAAAACACAAACACAAATTAGCAACATGTTAGTTTTCACCGGTGTACATTTCGTATGGTCATCACAGGTCCTCACAGGTACAAGGCGCGCCCTGAGCCCCACACAAGCCATCCGCAAGTCCTGGCAAAACGGCCAGACTCAAGTCTGGAACATCTCAATTCCCACGGGGCACCGTTTGGGACCAATCTTCGGCTCGTTTGGCACTCGCCCGTTTCGGTCGTTTTCTGGGGCGCCACTTCAAAGCGACCAGAAAACAAACTTGGAAGCACCTGGAAACGGGTGGAAATCGTGTGACCAGCTGGATGTCTTCCTTAGATTCATCGATTCTCTCAAGGGATACTTATGTCGGCGAAGGACTGGCGGATCTTCTATCTGCCTACTTTCTGAGTTCCTCTCAGCTTGTCTTCTCGCGCCGATCCCGTCTGCTGTCGATGGCGGTGCGAAAAGCATCAACATGTCCGTCTGGCTGTCGCATGCAACACACTGGCTGCGTGAGAACAGCGAGAATCGCTCTAAAAGTCCACAGCTTTTCTTGACATAGGTCCCTGGCATGGAAGTGGCAACTTTTTTTGCCCAACCCACAAGCTGCCAAGCCTGATTTGTGACCATGCTAGAATGAATATTCAAGGGCCACTTCACCCACTGATCATGGTCTGCCAGCTAGATGTTGCACACATGCGTCCCAAAGACTGGGAATGACCTGACCCAAGACACACTTGTTGTACAGTAAATCCGGTCAAGGTACGGTCGCTATGACGACATGCGTGAAATGCATTCAACAAACATATAAGACGAAAGCACACCTTTCCCAGGTACGCACCACCAACACGGAAAACGGGAACCCCAAGCACAACGATCCACAGTGGCGTTGCTTTTGCATCCAAAGCATTGAACAGTTCTTTTGAGCGTCTTGGCCAAAAGGTCACAAAGTGTGTCCCTTTGGGGTGTGTTGAAATATGCATGAATTTTCTTATACCCAGCCTAACCGCAAAAAACACATATACACACAGCGCTACACACACCCTCTAGCGACTGGGCCCCCCAGCAATAGCCAGCTTGAGAGGTGACGCATGGCGGGGCTCACAGGATGAAGCAAGGGGGGCTTGTCTGGCTTCTCTAGTTGGTTCCAACTCACTCGATTGGATGCACGAACAAGTTGTCCATTTGACACCACCAACCCTAGTTCTTGTTGTTGCCACGAGGTTTGGTCGGTTGGATGGGCTGACCCTTACCATGGACTCCCAAACAGGAGGTGTAAGGAAAGAATTGCTCCGGCAAAAAAATGCTCTTTTTGAGTCAAGTTTCATGGCTTTGGGGCTGGGATTCTTGCACGTTGAATAGCATAAATGGAATAGCGCAACAAACCTCAGTCGAGGAGTGTTTAGAGTGTTTCAAAACATTTCATGAGGGTCATTACCTCTGAACCGCATCCCCAGCGAAGCTTGTTGCGGCACAGGATGTGGTTCGGCGTGGGTCGAGTTCGGCGCTGCCGATGTGGGGTCGAGTTCTGCTCTGGAACGCGCAGAATCGCAGCCAAATGGGCGTTCCTTTTGCCCCGCATTTTTCAGAGCTGGGTCGCACTGGATAGCTGTGTCAAGGTAGACCATGTGGATGGATCAGCCATGGGTCGCTTATGGAGTGATGCATTGGGTACTCCGGAGTTCCGGAAGTGTCAATGTTGAAAACAGAACTGTGCGGGCACGGGATTGAACCCACCAAAGTGCTTGAAGAAGTACATACGTGGTGTGTTTGGGTCATTATGTGGAATCCTAATTGATAAATTCATCCCTTTTGGATTGAATAACCTCGTGATATAGTAAAGATTTTACATAGTTCGTAATTTCTGGCACAAAGGGTGTTGGTTACACGAGCACATGCCAAAAAAACTCACGAAAGCAAGCTGAAGTGTGTCATGGATTTCCAACACGCAAACAACGTTGCTACACCAAACGCCCCAACTTCCAAATCTGAAAAAAGAAAGCAGCTGGCCGGCTCCGGGGGGGAAACGTAGATGCCAGGACCAACCCTGGGTTCGGACACCTGGCGATCCGATCTTCCGATCGCATAGCTGGCCAAGAGGCATAGCTGGCATTCGGCTCTCGCTCTTCCCAACCTTATGGATCGCCACTGAGAATTCGGCAACGAGGCCGGGCATTTCCGGCCTTGGAACCATGGACTTTTGACGGGATCCTACGCTTTGAGTGAGCCAAACCTCTGTTTCTATACTCAGTATTTAAGATACATGCCATATATATATATATACTACAGTATTTATGGCAAGAACTGGATCTGTTGGAATGTCAACTTGGAAGGACACATGGATTCGGCTGAGTTCGCATCCTGAAACAGTTGGTAGGATGTTTAACCAAAGGGCTCTTAAAACGATTCAATGCTGCCCAACAAGAACTTTGACATTGTTGTTGAGAAAAGCACCTTTCAGTTTCCCCAACAAATTCATAGAACAAATGGTTCAAAATGGTGTTCCCTAAACATATGTTGTAAATACACCCGTGCAACTATACACGTCCTATCTGCTTTTGAAAACACAGAAGAAACAACATAAACATGAAACTGTTGCTGCTTGCGTGCGCTCTGGGGTCTGGAAGTTCTAGGTAATTTGGGTCTGGAAGCTCCTATTTTTGAGTACAAATTGGTGGATTTCCCCGAATTGGTGTCCTTTGCATGGCCAGAATTGATGATTGGTCTAAATGTGTGGCATGCCCAAACATGCAGCAGGCAAAACTGCCAGGATCTGATGGCATTCTTAACCGGTGGAGCTGCCACGTTTGTTTCCAGGTTTTCTGTGCTCAGGTTCAACCTACTATATCTGCGGGGGAGTGTATATAATATATAACTATATATAGAACCATATATATTATATATATACAGTCACTATATATATATATAATTATACATAGCCGTTGAAAGCAAATGATCTTGTAAGGTGTGGAGCAAGGCAAGCCCTTGTGACAGCCCCCCTTCGGAAGCTCCACGAAGTCGATCAAGAAAAAAGAACTTAGCTGTGCTCTGGAATATGTATACTGCGTATAAAAATACTTCATGTGACCCCCAACCAATGTTTTCGGTCTATTTCCCTTCTTCCAGGGTATCTTTTGGAGGTCCCGATCTTAGATCTCACCCATATCCCGAGGGCTCCAGCCACATCCTCAGAAGGTAGGTGGACCTCCCACCTTCGAAGCGGAGGTAGTTGGAGCTTCAGGGCATTTCAAGTGATCTGGGCACCGATGACAGCGCGATCAGCCCCGCTGCGTACATGTAACGCGTACGCGTCACGTTGACCGAGGTAGCCCAGCGCCGCCTCCGACTGGTCCAGTGACCAAACCGCCTGAGGTCACCCGCTTTTCCAGGCCTGAAGTCGTGCGACGTAGTACGTGAGGAGGGTCGACTTGGTTGGAGGCCATCGCTCTTAGGTTGGAGGCCGCTAGTAGGTCTTCTTGAAAACAGCTTCTTAGAAAGGCAAGAGATTCACAAGGAGCTCTCCACACATCGGCCAAGACCAAGCAGGTCATGTCTGAAACCGTCCGAGTCTCGAAGCTCGTGGAATCGAGTCAGCAAGAAAGAGAATCCGGGGTCAGCTACTGGAGTTGACCAAACTTGCTTCCTTGTCTCCGATTGAAAGGGACCCTCACAGGTGGAGATTGCGCTGGTCAGATGTGACAGACCGGCGTTCCCAAACAAGGTAGCCCGTCCCTGGTCTTGCAAGGTAGCAGGTGGTCAATGCTGATCAAATAAACTCAGGTTAAACAACATCTTAGCCTCTCCGGCCCTGACCCCTAAGATATGTACAAGTTCTTTGGTTGGTCAAAAGCATGAGTGCAATGGTCAAAGGAAGGACACCAATTAAAGGATTCAATAGATTCAATAGTAAGTGCTGTCCCCATTTCGTTGAGGGCCGCACTTCCAAAGAACTTTCTTGAGTGTCCGGAACCCAAGTCACTGTGCGCTTCGTTCTTTCCCCTAGGCCTAGGCTGGCCCTGGGTGTCTGTTTTCCGTTCATGCATGCTCGGACCAACGAAAGGATCTCACAAATCACTCGACTGGGCTCTGACTTCTTGCCTCCCAAAAGAGCAAGAACCGTCGGAAGGGACTTGGTTGGAAGATCTTGGTGCCAAGTTTCGGGATGTCCTGCATGTCTGCCCAGACCTATATTATATATATATATATATAAGTCCACATGTCTGCGCAGACCCTAAGCTCCCTTGGGGCATCTGACGTCATCACATCCCACCTGAAGGAGCGTGGGGTGAGACAAAGAACATCAAGAAAAGCTTCTGATGGGTTGTAGAAATGGACAGGTCGTGACACACACAACATACAACCACCACTCACTGACCTGACGCGATCAAACGAGAGATGGGAAACAGATGGAAACAGGAACTGCTCCCTTGTTTTCACGAGGAAACCCGTTAACAGCAAGGAACTGCAATCGGGTGGAAACGGGTGGAAAGGACGTACAAAGACGTTGCACCGCCTGCAAAAGTCCATTCCAACATTCTGAAGGTCTCTCAACCTCTCCTTGGTGTGTCATCACTAGATCGGCCCTGCTCATCTTCCCAAAGTTGGGTGTGCGGCGTGCGGTGTGAAGCAGGGAAGTGATCCACATCCATTGCCACCCAAAATAGGTCCGCGGAACAATTGACCCATTCAGTATATTCAGTATCCTCACAAAAGAGAAGGCTAAGCTTTTCTATAAGCTTTGAATGCGTCCGTGTCTCCCCAAAAGTGTCTCTCATGCCCAAGTCTCTTGTGCCTGGCCGGTTGATGCACCATGACTCTCCAACAGGTCACCAATTGACAGCTCAGAAAGGGCCCTTGGGCCTCAACGACCTGTTGGAGGGACTGGCAGTCATGGGGGCGTCGATGTCCTTCTTCGACTCCTTTGGGGACCAAACGAGCTTCTTCTCCTTTCAACGGCGCTCGGCTCTCCGCCTCGAAGAGCACCAGGGGCATCTGACGGCCCAGCTGGGCCAACACGGCCAAACAGCTGATGCAAAAATAGTGGCTGGCCTCGGTTTTCGAAGTGTCTCGTGACCGGGCCTTGGATTCTCACCATGTAACCACCGCCGTGTAAACACATTAACCTTGAACATGAGTGCCAACTAACCTCCAACTACTTGGCAGGTGTTGGTGCCAGGCCTGGCATACTTGGCAGAATCATACCCGCCCGCCGGATGAGTCAATGGAACAGTCGACCGAGAGATCAAAGAGTTTCAACTTGTTTGCAAAAAGCAATGCAGTCAACACTGCGAATTAGTGGAAACCTACTGTTAGGTCTTGGTCTTATTTTGGTTGGATTGTTTTCGGCGCAGGGGGGACATTGGTCGTCTTATAAGACGAATGAACCTTCCACGCGATTGGGGCAATCGCGAAGTGAACCATGGCAGCGGCGAGCGGCGATCGTTGAAGGGAACCTCTTTTCCGCTCCTGGATCCATCCCAGGCATCATTCCACCGAGTGGCATAGAGACGCGCCCAGCCGGTGGCTTCCTGCGCGCTGGATGGAAGGGTCTTTGCATCCTAACGGCCGAACAGTTCCTATTCCAGGCACTGCATGTATGCAACATATATGACCGCTTAGGATCATTTGGGTGGTTTTGGTGGGGGATGTGCATGACGTTAATTAGGTCATATTGACCCAATTACATGGAGAGTTTGGGTACGTGTCATTTTTTTGGACAAGGATCTCCGTGATCTGTGAGGCGGTTTTGGAGCTAAAAGGGTGGGGAGGACAGGTTGAACCATTGCCGCGAATTGCTGATCCCCATGCACTGCACCCCACAACAAAGGCATCCAAAAGCAACATAAAGCAACCATCTTGGCCTCTGCTTAGGGGCTGGTGGTCTTCTCATTGCAGTCACCGTTCTTCTCTTTTCTCTGACTGAGCGGTGTAGGCGGCACTGGTCGTCCAGTTGCCATGTTCTACGTGTTGTTCATCTGTTCCACGGACACCTCTCGCGAACAAAAGAACTATGAGGTGAAATGATGTGACCGCTTATCCGATGAGGTCCTCATCCTCCCACACCTTGAATCGGCCGCGTATTGAGGCGGACGCACCGGCTACACATCCCCTGGTGTTCGAGGGCAGGGATGACACATCACAAGCTACACTTAATGGTGTAGCATGCAATCCACGGGTTGAATGATTTGGGCGGCGCCAGCCCACCGGGAGCGAGCACATGGGGCTTGTAACCAGCGGCGCCGGCCTTCACGTGGTGTCCAAGGCTCGCCGCCTCAGAAACGGCAACGCGAGGAATTGTAGGATGCTCGGGTCCTGAGTGGCTGGATCTAATTCCAAACACTCCATGTATGTAGTATATTGCCTACATTGACACCCTGGCACCACCCAATGTACTAGACGTATATAGTAATGCTCATTCCATCAGTCGTCCTTCGGGTGTGGGAGGGGTCGTCCTGGAGCCTCTGCCTCCCAAGATACTGCAGGAACTGCAGTGCACTGAGATCATGGAACCCAATCCATGCACTGATGCCCATGCAAACACTTCATGGAACTGGCATCTTTGCCACCATTGGGATGGTTGAAAGGGTTCACTGTATGCATACATTCCATACATGGAGTGTTCCGAGGTGGAATGCCACACTTCGCCGGTCTCTTTCGGGACAATTCCCCACGCTGCCGACTGGTCATCGTGGGGTTCTCCGTGGCCGGTCATCGGATCCCTCCATGAATTCGAATCCCCAAACTCCAAATTCGGGTTCAGGGTTTGGGGTCTGAGCAAGGCTAGAGTGGGCCCAACGACTGGTAGACTCAGCTGAACCCGAAACAAACCACCAAACCACGATCCTGAACGTTTGGTGTTCTTGGCCCCAATGGTCTGGGTTTTGTCTGGGATCTGTTGTTTGTTTTTAAACCTTTTTCTTTAAATGTGCTTTTGATAGGATCATGCGCCAGGTTCATCCATTTGGTACTTTGGAGGGTCGATGGGAGAACCTCCTTTCACTTGATATACACTTGATCCAAATTCGGTGACACACGAGCACTTATCGTTGATTTCACTTCGATCCAACAGGGATCGTCCATCCCTTGGATTGCTCATGTGGAATGGCAGGTTCACCAAGCCTCAGGGTCCAACTGCCTCATTATAGAGGGGAACATAAGTCTAGGACCGACTGCCTTCCCAGAACTTCCAAACAGTTCCAGCAAGGAGAGGCTGAGCTGCGCTCAAGAATGGTCACTAGCCTTCCAAGGCTCAAGACATGGTTCACCTGGTTTTGTGGACTAACATCCTATAAGTAAACCTACGGCGGTTCGGATTTTTTGTATCTTGACATCCTTGATTTGTTCGGATCTGTTGCAGAAATCCTGTCAAAAAGAAACATTGGCCAAAGGCACCATCGCGCACCAGCTGTTGGAAGCGCGAATCCTCAGGACCGTTCAGAGTATCGACACCCGGGAGGGCCGCTGGCGGGCTGGTGGCGGTGAGTCATAGCTCTGGGGGCCAGGCCCCCCCGTGCAAAGCCCACTACAAGCGCAAGTTGAAGTTGTTGGACTGACTGCGTGGGTGAAAATGCAAAGTTGAGGCACCAATTCCTGCAGTTTCTGAGGCCAAGTTGTTCAAGAAGCACCAGATTCCCTAGAAGTCCAGTTCGACTCAATTGGGCACCACCCAAGTTTGCAGGAAAGGACTCTTCGGCTCATTGGCTAGAAAGACCGTGTTTAACATTTGGACTCCCAGGGGTTTAGGAAGCCAAACCTACACAGATCATTACAGAAGCAACACACTCAGTCTATATAGTCATTCCAATGTGATACTATGCGAATGAATTTCCCATCAATGAACCAGGCAGCACCCAAAATGTTTTGTGATATAATTATAGTGTCTGCTTCGCTCAACGATTTCGCCTAGACCATCCGTTTGGGGTGTGGCATATGCTGAAGAACTCCTGTTCACAGGGCACCCCGAGTCGCGGAACCCTTTCGCCCAAGGCACGTCCAGCCCTCGTACTCGTAGCACGTCTGGGGCCTTCGTGGGGTCGAAGTCCTTCAACGGCACCTGGTTTCGCCGTTTCGGCGCAGGAACGAGTCGACGAAAGATCCGAAGATGTTCACACAAAATGGCGCGACTCAATAGGCGCGATGGAAACAGAAAAAGGAAGCGGAAGCGGAGTGTATAGGAATAGGAAGCGTGTTTGTTTCAAGAATTGACCAAACTTGATGCTTTTTTGAAGTCACTTAGGTGCTCCAAAAAGGTCACGTTGAAGAAGCTGGACAAACATGCGGCCAATGGGGGGAAGTGATGCAGGAAGAGGAGAGAAACGTATCGCTTTTTTGAGAGTCTTATCAACGGCTTCGCTCGACTACTTTAGGTGGCACCGGCTTGCTTGTTTGTTAAAAGGTTTCGTATTCTAAGAATCCCTCAACCCTAAACTCGTGACACTGGTGAAAACCTTCCCCAAATATCCAAAGTTGAACTCTCTTCCAAAACCAGCTGCCATCATCTGCTATCTGGCTTTGGTGCACAAAACAAGGTCTGAAGACGTCACCTCTGTCGCAACGAGGTCTGTCGCACCTCCTGGTAGTTCCGCAGGAAAGGCCAGAAGTCTTGCACCTGCCATCTCTTGGGACCAAGGGGGCGAGGCGAACGGTGCGGTCCGGGGTCCTCCAGGACCATATGGGAGTCCTGATCTGAGTAGTATTACATAGTATTACTCTCCCTGGAACGTCCTCATGGAAGTGGAGTTCACCACCTGTTTGTAGTGGATTTCATGGTCTTCCTTTCGGGGCCAGAACGTCCACTTCCATGTTAGTTCCAGGGAGTGTAGGTCACCTGAAGCAAAGCTGGCACGATCAAATCCTCGACAGGCACACGTCCACAATCCCACAATCTCAGCAGGTCTCTCTCTCTCTCTCTGTGTCCCTTTTCTTTGTTGTTGGTGGGAAATGGAGATGTTGTTATTGTTCCTTTGGAGTCTCCGAATGAATTTCATCGACTGGGAATCTCCTGTAGTTTGCGGCCCGAAATTCCATGGAAAATCATGCAATCATATGGGAGAGCCCCTCGAAAGACATGTTTGCAAAAGCAAGGGAGTGAACTCAGGTAGCCCCAAAATGCCTCAAGCTAGGTAGTGTAAATCATCTGCTTGGGGAAGCCTTTAGAGTTGGGGTTTGGGCATCCCAGCACACGTGGGTTGTTCATCTTCACATAAACTTTGTGATATCATTCATAGTTATTACCACATCCTGAGGATGGTACCAAGCGGATGTTGAAGCAACATTCCGGGTTGGTTCTTCTCAAAAAGGATTTGCATAACGATGAACTCGATACATCTTGCCGTATCATGCACAACCCATTAAGGCCATCCCTCAAAATTTACCCGAGCTGAAGCCAGATCTAAGTCTATCATTTCATTGCTGCATCGCTTCCTCTGCACGTCTCCACTGGTGTCTCCACCAAGCCACTCGTGGCTCTTGTAAGACGGGCCTTCGGACCTGGGGCGACCCCTCATGTGGGGTCTGTGGATCGGACATGGAGCGTTTGGCATCGAAAACACTGCGCAGTTCTTGATGTCCAGTCAAAGTCAAGTCTAAAGACCATTAAAGACCTCACAAGCGCGGACCCACCTGGTGGGCCCCAGTTTGGGCAAAATCTGGCAGGGCCGAAGCCTTCAACTGCTTCAGGAGGAAGCTTCAACCCAGTCAATGTCAACCATGCGACAGTCACATAGCAAGTGGGTGGCCAGTACACAGGGTTTCCACTTCGAGCATGCTGTAAACAACTTCTCGGCGTGCTCCTGCTTGTTCAAAAATCCTTGATTGATATGCATTGATCTTTAACTTGCACCACTGCACCACAACTAAGAGTTGATCAGGAATGGGTACAACACTTCCCTCAGATTCCATCAACCCTTGGTTTGTTTCTTTTTCCGCAGTAGCAGCACTGACAAGTCTTCTATTGTTGCATCCTTGGCTATCCCAAGCACGGGGCGAACCAACTGCCTTTTGACAACTCATGAATCACGCCCCCCCCAACCCACTCTCTCTCTCTCGCTCTCTACATGTCCATGCCATGGCCGAATCAGAAACGCCTGACCAACGTGATGAGCCAAGCTCCGCAATTCTCATCCCACACTGGGGGGGCCCCCACATCTAAGGGTCGAGGTCTCTCAAGCACCTGCCAAGAGCCACAGGGTCGGGGTAGGAAGCCTTAACCTTCCCAAGCGAAGGAACTTGGTGCTTCTTGGCTGAATCCCGGGCTGAAATGAGCTGAATATGCCCACTGTATCCGTGTTTTGGGCTTGATTGAGTGTTGCATGATGATCGGAAGCCTATAGGATGTGCATCAAAAAAATCCATGGTGAAAAACAACTTAAAACATCCTGCAAAACACTCCTACAAATCGCGTGTTCTCACCAAGCCTTTAGATCAGGTACCCCAAGCCTGATGTTACCTTGGGCTCTATCAGCAATTGAACACTGGGCCTGTTCAGTACACATTTGCCTTCGCAACATCTGCCTTCGCACGGCCCTCCGCGCCTCACCTGGGGCCTCAAGAACCTGAACTACACAGCCCAGTGCAATGGCTCTGGGAGGACAATCGTGCCGGGCGCAGTGGGGTTGTGCCGGGCGAGTGCCCTTCAGAGTATGTTATGTAGACCAAGACTCATGCGCGAGATGTTTCGATGTCATATGTCGTGTTTCGTTGTCACCGGCTCTGGGTTACTCCGGGGAAAAACAACATAGACCAGAACTCAATTTCAAGTGCACTTTAACATGGACCACTGGAAACGGTGACTTCCTGGGGAAACGGTATTAGCGCTTTTTTGGGCAATTTCTGGACCCTCACTAACATGGACCGTTCCCACTCTCAGTCTATGATCGATTTTGACACTAACATGGACCAACTGCAATCTGACTATAAACTGAACGCAGGCTAACATAGTCCGCTCGGAAACTAGACTAACCTATGCCCAAAAAAAA